CGGTAGCTGGCCAGTTTAAATGACCTTTGCGAGCTTGAAGAGTAGGGGGATTGGGATAGCTGGATCCCCACACCCCCCCCCCCCCCTGCGTTTCATAGTAGGGGGGGGGGGGTGGGGGGGGGGGCGGTTATTCTGGGTGTCCGCTGCAAGTTCCACCCGTGAGTTTGCGCCCGCGGGTTGGGGAAGCGCCAGGGGCGGTCCGCGGAATCTGCCTCCAGGGCGCCGCGCCCTTGATCTCGCCCCCGCGCTTGCAGCCCAGATCATGTCTACCAGCGCCCACGTGGTTCTATAACAGTGGTAGTTTCCAGCCTATGCGCTTGCAATGGTAGGCGACGTTCGTGCCCGGGGCAAGATCCATATCTTCTGTCATCATGTCATGATCATCTATTTGTGCGATAGTCTCACTGGTGTCTTCCGCCCCAGACCCCCGGGCCGATTTGGAATAAACCGATTCGGACTCTGGGTCGGACCCGGGGGGGGGGGGGGGGGGGGCGGCGGCCTCAGCGGGGCCCGCTGCTTCATCATCTTCTGGATGACCAGCATCCTCATGAGAAGAAGAAGAAGCGGTTTGCCCCGCACGTGTTGCATCACCTGTCCCATGATATTCTCGACTCTATACTTCGAGGCTGTGATTTATATCGAGGCGCTGCCAGATGCAATCGATCCGATTGATCCCTCTCATCGATCGACTGGTAGTCGGCTTCAGTCAAACAGTCTGCAGGTGGATCACTGGCCGGATCCACTCTAGGACCCAGACCATCTCCGCGAGACATGACCCCCGGGGTTCCTCCGAAACTATGGCATCTCGATGGGCGCCCCATCAGGCACGTAGGTCTGCGGCCGGCAGAAAGATCAAGGACAAACGATGCAACGGTAGGTCTTCCGGTCACTGATGACGGCCCTCTTGAGGTCCCGTCTTTCAGAGTTTTCTCTCGCATGGGCGCCCATGCCTCTGTTGGCGCGGGCGATCTTCCCTTCGTCATTCCGCTCGAAATTGCGAAGTGAATGCCAGTGACGCATGTCATGCTCGGCCCAGCCTCGGTCGAGCACGCGACGCGTCGCTCTGGGGGGCATGTTCTGGCGAGCCAGCCCATGATCGCCATCGCTCACGAGGCGTTGCGCGCCTCTTGCTTCGGGCGCAGCTGGGCGGGTCTCCCTCTGAGGCGGGTTCCCCCGCGAGCGCCCCCTCCTCCGTGGGGCCTTTGGAGCTCTCGCGTTGGGGGCGGGGCGCTGGGGCGCTGGGCGCCGCTGGAGCGCGCGCGAATGCCCGCGTGAATGGCCGCGACCGCGACGCTGCGTGCGACGGCCCTCGGCTTCCCGCTCGTCTTCGTCATCGTCTGAGCGATTCGTGCGTCTGCAGACTTGGCGACTAGCTGATCGCCCATGGCGGCTCGGAGACCGCTCAAGAGCCACGAGCTTGCGATGCTGATCTTCATTATGTCCAAGTTCTCACTGCATGAGTTCTGAAAAGGTCGCCAGTATCTCGCGGGCTTCCCCGCGGGGGATCACCGCCATATGGTTCTAGGGGTTTATCGGATTGCCAATGGCCTGAGGATGGAGCAACACGTGAATTTCCTCGTCTGTCGCAGGAATTGTAGCTTCAGGACTCGGACGGGCCCCCGCGGCATCGCGATCTACGTCGGCGGATATATGGTAATCCTCAACCATTTCAATCTGCGCAGGTTGCCCCGCGATGGGCATGCCTAGCCAGTCTGCCAAGTTAACCTCGTCGCGGCCAACATATATCACCCCGAAGAGCTCACCGGCGCATCTCTCGAGGGACGCGCTGGCGCTTAGATGCAGGGCAGCCGCGAAGTTAACAGCTGCGGTAGGATTGCCTGCAGGGCCGGCCTACAGCGTCTCTCAATCGACACACTGCATGTCCGAATCGGCGTGAGCCACATGCATTGACGGACCCCTGGCCCCTCCATCGCCTCGGGGCATTCACGGCGGAAATGTTGCGTGCTGTGGCAGACGTCACGTTCCACGGTTTTACCGATCGCATCTTTCCGGTGGCCCCGACACCCCTTGCCATTTCCTGAGGCGCACCTATGGCCCCTGCCTGCTCCCAGGGATAATTATTCATGCTGTGGTCCAGTAAGGATGGCCAAAAATTCCAGCATACCTCAGCCATGCGATCGCCGTCGTTTGCCCTTGACCTTGCCTGGACCATTGCCCTTTCCTCTAGGTGCCCGTCGGATAGTACGTCGTACCTTGCGAATTGGCTTCTTCATGAGCCGTCTTCATCTACGCTTATCGTTCTGACATCCTAGAAACAAACATTGAGCCTGCTGTTATGCTGTAGGATACGTGGGCATGTCGGAACAGTCTAGGGCAGTCGTCTCGTCATCTGATCGGCGTCGGTTCCAGAGCCGAAGTCAGACTCGGCCGCCTGCCCCGCTGAGCCTACACGGGCAGTGGCTTGTGTATGGGGCCGCCGTTGCCGACGGTCCCTGATATCCGGCCTGGGAGTCTTGCGACCCCGTAGGCAGACCACCACTTTGGCCAAATAGAATGGGGGTCTCCGTTGATTGCGGATCGTCGCCCCAGACGTTTGCAGCAGGCTGCCCTGCATTATTTTCAGCGTGAAAGGTTTCGGTATGGTGACCGCGGCTAAAGATACCACCAATACTGTCAAGGGTTCGCTCAACAATGTGGAATGACCACCAATGTTAACGCCAGAGTTCATGACTGCGGGGCGAACTCTCATGGCTATGGTCCACGCGGAACCTCCCAAACCACGCTGCACTGCTGCAGCCTGCTGGGGGGGCGTCAAATTGCCTGTGGTCGAGTTGATCCTGGAATGTACCTCTCGGGTGAATTTTCGGAAAAGTACTTGACCGGCCGGATCCCAGCGGGGGCCGGTTGCTCTTGCGCCGTCTTCGCCACGTATGTGTCCCACAACACAACCGATACCGACACACATAAGGCCACATGTAATAATGCCAATCCAATGGTTCCATAGGTCGTGATCGGGTATTAGTGGATGGGGTTCGTGATGTTTTGTTGTATGCCTGCGCGGGGGTGAGGCGGCACAATGTCGCATAGCATGTTGCCACGCGTGGTATCTGCAAAAAACTCAAATAGGAGTAGGCGTGTGGACTTCAGGATTGTAGTAGCGCTGGGATGTGGGACTCGAGTAAGAGACCTCCGCGAAAGCAGAGGTAGCACTGCACGTGTCCTTGCGGTTGTGCGTAGTTGTACACATTCCTCCGCGCAGACCCACTGCACCCTGATGTTCCACCATGTCAGTAGTCCACCAGATAGTGCCGTGGATGGTGAAGGTGATGAGTAGAGCAAGAGCTGACCATCATAGGCCAGTTCCGCTACCAAGTTTGCAAGGGGTTGGGAGGCCCAACCAGCAGCTTCGCCTTAGGCGAAGCCCAGCTCCAGCTCTGTTGTGCCGTAGCGACGATCGTCCCAGACGTAGGTCGTCGCGGGAGCGACGGGCCATCTCAAGCGAAAGTGTTTTCGGTCCCGATGGCAAGTAGTGTGCCTCGCGATGAGGCGCAGTCACATGTCGGCGGCCGGCCGCTTGAGCCCAAGCGGCCACGGACAAACGCTCGCTATTTCTCGCCATTGTCCCAGCTCACCTTAAAGTGGAGGACCGAACAGCGGGAATCTGAACGGACAGTTCGACTTTCCCGCCCAAAGATGCACACAGGAGGCCTCAGGAGACTCCGACAGAACTCCGAGAGGCCCCAACGGCACCCGAAAAAACTGCCAATAGTCCTCCCAAGGTAACACCAAGAGCCCAACATCCTCAAATTCCGTGGGGGAACTTACTTATTTAAAGCATATACGACTCTTTGGCCTTCACGGCGTTGAAACCCGCCCAGGAGGCCCGCAAGACTGTTCCAAGAAACTCCCAAGAGAACCCCACAACGGCAAAAGAGGGCCCCAAGACATGCGAAGAGGCGCTCAATACAGCCCAGGAGACCCCAATAAAGGGCTCAACAACGGGAGCCCGAACCGACAATTAGAGTTTCCCGCCCCAAGATGCACGCAGGAGGCCTCAAGAGCCCCCAACAAAAACCCGTGATGCCCCCAAGAGACCCCAAGATGCGTCAAAGGGTTCCAAAGCAATCCTCAGAGGCTTCAGAACTGCTTCCAAGAGGCCCCCCACAGCACAGAAAACGGTTCCCGGGATGTGGTCGGGAAGAGATCCCAAGATGGCCCTATACTCTCCAGGACGGCCAAAAATCAAAAACAGCTCCAAAAAAGGGGCCCGTGCAGACGGGTACCAAAAACGGACGTCCTGGCCCCGGGATAATCAAAAAACCGACTCGGGATGAATCACCGGCGCTGGAGACAGGTTGGGGACTTCGGAGCCGCGCCTTGACAATAACCAGTGTATCGGATGTCTAGGAGTTCAGAACGGCAGGACCGTTCTGGCCACGGCGAGCCTCGGCCACGAGGAGGCTCCCCAACCTAGAGGCCCGAGGAGCGGCCCGAATAAGCAGAGCCGACCTTCTGAACAAAGACCAATCCTTTACTTCAGCGCCTTGACTGCACATGCATGCGAAGCGATGCATGTAAGACGAAGCCAGGACGAGGATGAGATCGGGTGAGGATAAATTCGCCGACCCCTCGTGGGCTCCTCAGCGTGTGAGAGTGCTCTCTTCCAAATATCAACCCCATTGACAACCCCCTCATGAGGGGATAGGGGGCTCCCCGACGACCCAAAGAGGCCCCAAGACGCACCCAATATGATCCAAGAAGGCCCCGAGTCTTTGAAAGATCGCTCCAAGTCGCCCAAGATGGCCTCCTGACGACACATGATAACCCCAAGACACCCCAAAAAGACACCCTCTGGCTTTCATCGACATCACAATCACCCTGGACGCCCCCCAAAAACCATAGGAAACGATCTACAGTTAGGGGGCCGGCGGATGTGGCGTAAGCCCGTAGAGCAAGGTGCTGCGAACCAAAAGGGTAGGAATATGCTTCAGGCTGATGAATGCCCACCGCGACACCCCTAAACCCGTCTGATAACCCCGTCATCCGACCGCCCAGCGGGTCTCTGGACTTGGCGCGATCTGGCCTGCGGAGCGGGACCGGCTGAGGGGGCCTCCAGGCAGACCAGCAAGGCCCGCAGAGGCGGCGGCAGCAGCAGCAGCTGCCCTCGCCGCTTCCAGCTCCGAAAGCGTGCGCCGGAGGTCCTCGCCCAAACCCGCTCTCTGGGCCCAAGAGGTCAACAGCTTCGAAGATAAGACGAGGGGCAACTACGGCGCACCAGAAAGCAGGAAGCCCCAACATATCCCAAGCTAGGCTTAAGTAGCCCTGAAAGCCCCCAGGAATCTCCACTATGTGATCTCCAGGAAGATCCAAAATAGTTGTCCAGGGATGTCCGAAAATATCCAGGAAGCTCCAGAGCCTCCAATTTCAGAAAGCTGATGTAAGGTCAGGAGGTGTGAAACAGTTGAGCAGTGGGGATGCAGAATGCAATGGTCTTGTCTGGATCCGCATACTCCGCCTCCACTCACGACTCAACCTCGCATTTCAAGTCTGAATCCCTTGCATCCTCATCCTCATCTTCATCCTCTTCGTGATCACCTTCGAATCTCCCCCGCGCAGCAGCATGGTGTCGCCACCGAAGTCGTTGTCACTGCACACGACATCGCCATCGCTGTCACCACCACGCGGTACCTCACAAACATTGCTTTTATTCACTGATAACCCAACGAGGTGGCGGATACTACGGAGCAAACACACAAACGCAAACCATAACAACTGCAACTCCAACTTAGAATACCACACGACACAAATCCGCTGGCCTTGTCGGCATGTGTGAAAGACCGAGGCATACCCCTTGCAAAGTCCAGCATGTCGGAGCGCTCCAAGCAAAGCCCCAGCTCCCAAGGGAAATCGCCCCAAGTCATCAGCCCGAGTAGAGTGTTGCAGGATCGCAGCGTGGAGCATTGCCAGGTCGCCAGCCCGAGGGAAACCACCTCGGATCGAAATTAACTCGGACGGAAGCCCATTGATCCCTTCCCCGCAGGAAAAGAATGATCCTGGGGATGGTACGGGTGGTGGGGGGCCCCACCGGATAAACGCCCGGGGGGGGGTCCAAGAGATGGTCCTGGGTCAGAATGAGCTCCCCCCTTCGCCTTTGGAGTAATCCTCGGGCCAGTTTGGCCCTCTCTCGGCAACGTAGGACTAAGACGCCCAAGCAGGCACCGAAACTGCCCAAGGAGGCTCGAAACCAAGAGTGCCGCAAGAAAAAACCCACAAGGGCCCCAACAGGCAACAATGAGTGACTATCCTCTGGTTGCTGCAAGCTTTCTCGCATTCTCCCCTTTTCGGTCTTCACGCGCGCCCAGACGGCCCAAGAGGCCTCAAAGATCTCTCCAAGACGGCCCAAGGGGCCCCAAAGAAGGCCACAAGGCTGCCAAAGAGGACCCCAAGACGGCCCACGAGTCCCCCTAGAGGTTCCACGAGGTGTCCAAAATGCCAAGAGCGGTAGCACGACCTGACATTTCGAGCCCTCCACTCGAGGATGACCCCTAAGATCGCCAGGGCGCCCCCAAGAAACCCGCAAAACGACCCCCATGGGCCTCCATGAAACCCACAAGCCAACAAAAGGTCAGAAGGCCCCAATACTCTCCTCCCCTCTGTTTCCATCTCGTCGTCGTCAGGGAGGCGGTTTTCCATTCGAATATCCCCCCCTAACCTGTGGCCACCTCGTTCCCTCCAAGCGCACCACAGAAAAAAGTGGATCTGGAGCCGACCGGCGCGACCTGCGCGACCGGCGCGACCGGCACCAGCGCGACCGGCGCGACCGACGAGACCGGCGCGACCAGCGTGACATGCAGGCTCTGGCGCGACCGGCGCGACCAGTACCGGCGCGACCGGCGCGACCGGCGCGACCGGCGAAACCGGCGCGACCGGCGTGCTCTGGCGCGACCGGCGCGACCGGTACCGGCGGGACCTGCGCGACCGGCGCGACTGGCGCGACCGGCGCGACCGGCGCGACTGGCGCGACCGGCGCGACCGGCGCGACTGGCGCGACCGGCTCTGGCGCGACCGGCGCGACTGGCGCGACCGGCGCGACCGGCGCGACTGGCGCGACCGGCGCGACCAGCGCGCCCGGCGCGACCAGCGTAACCAGCGCGACCGGCACCTGCACGACCAACACCTGCAGCGCCCCCAGCGCCACCGGCGCGAACGGCGCGACTGGCGCGAACACCGCGACCGGCACCAGTGCGACCGGCGCGGCCGGCGCCGCGACCAGCGCGACCGGCGCGACCAGCACCCCAGACGCCCACGACAGCTATAATTAAAGAGATTCTCCTTTTTTAGTTAGCGACCACACTAGAACGATTTAGGAAGTTGATTATGGAGAATATATAAAATCAGAATCCTTATTCTATAATATATGGAGATATCTCTTGAAAACTAGATTTCCAGATCAATATTCAAGAGTTGTGTGTGCTGTCTACGTTATGGAGGTAGTTTTCTCTGTATGTTTGGATCGGACCCTTTGGGGTGTAGAGGTGTGCAAGGCGGATGGTCGCAAGACTAGGTATATGCATATTTTCATCGCACACGACTGCTCATGGCCCCCGTGTTCGAAACAAAGAACAAGCCACTTCACTAACAACCCAGAAGACATGGTCTTGGGATGGAGGGCTCCAGCCGATTCAGCGCACAGCCCAAGTGAGTCCTCGAGGCCATAGCACCAGTAGTAAGACGCATTCCCCCATTCGGCCTGTTGCCATTCGCACGAATGCTCGAATAGGTGGGCTTCCGGGGTTAATTCCCACATCCTTTCGTTGTTTTCCGTAGCATCGTGGTCAAACAGGCCAATCTTCCGCCCCAAACTTGCAAGCTCAGCTTTCGCAACACCAAGGTAAGACATTGGATTGTTCGCCATGATGTCGCAAAAGGTTTGGCCCTTCCTTACATAATGCGAGCCTCATTTCGTCGTGGAGCGCGCTCGCGTTGAAACGCGTGCAAATGTCTACCAAGTGCGGTGCCAGATGCCGAGCGCCCGCCCCTTTGGCATTCAATTCTGGGCATGCGCCATCCTCCCGAATTCTGCTTGCAGTTAATTTACCCCTCAGCCAGGATGCGATTTTTTCTCGTTTGTAAAAAATCGCCCTAATGTTGGGCCAGACGCGCCGCGTTCTCTACAAAGTTCCGCCCGCGAAATACGCGTCGCCGAACGCGTTCCCAGAACAATTTCCCGCGACGTGCATTTGCAGCCCCAGGTCCATCGCGCGTAATAAATATGCCATGCATCACGCAGCTCAGCTTTGGACCTACAACCAGTATGAAAAACGCGGGGATTGGTTCCCCCTGCTCGGTCAAATAATCCAGATAACCCTGACGAGTCCCCTTAGTATCCCCCCGCCCCGCGCCAGGGCCAAAATCGGCCAAAAACAAAGCTGGGTTCGTTCTCGACGCCTTGCGCATCCAACGCAGTCGGTCAGCCCCCTGCCAAGATGGAATATGCAGCACCACTGCGTAAAATTGCCCGCCCCCTCTTATTTGCACTAAGCGACCTCGCCATGCGCCAGCTATGCGCGGACGAGAGACACCATCGCTTAGAAGCCGGTTTCCGGGCCAATCGATCGCAGGCATCACGCCAGACAACAATGAATTCATTGACCATCTGAAAACAGCCCAAATGGCATCCAAGGTCCAAGGTCATTGTCGCGTAGAGGCTGGTCGAAATAATCGCAATCATGAACCCCGATCGTCGGGCATTGCCCCTGCCGGGTAAACTGTCCCAGCACAGCGCTGAAATAAATGATTGCTTGTTGCGGGGCCCTGCGTCTCCGCGGGGGCCGGGTGGGATCGCTCGAGCCCGGTCTTCCTCATCGGGGGGGGGGGGCGCAGGAGAGAGGAGGGGGGGGGGGCGCAGGGATCAAAGAGGGGCGCGAATGAGGCCAACGATGGGGAGACCGCTAGTGCACTCTGATAAAGGCTGCAAGGGCCCTTGAAATATGGATGCTCCTGGACAAAGCTCGCGTGACTGACTGCTCGCCAACGCTCCTCGCTAGAACCTGACGGGCCAGCGACGCGCGAACTCCAAATGCCCCCTGATCGGAATGCAGAGACGAAAGAAGCGAATGAGGCAGGATGAATGGATGCGGCACCGTCCCTCTTGTAGCCGGGATGTTATAATGCGCGATGTTCGGAGCTCCAGCTGATTTCCCGACGTTTCGAAGTAGGGCTCGTTGAATATGCTGCGGCCTTTCCCCAGCAGCTCCAGCCTGCGCTAAGCATCTAATTGCGCGGCGCCCTGGGCCCGAGCATTATGCGCGCGCCCCTGGGCCTGCCTCGAATTATGTCTCGAATCGCACAGTCCCGCTTGAGAGCAGAAGTAAACGATAGCGGAGCCGCCTCGGACGAATCGCTGCGCGATGATTTCTGAACCCTCCTCCTGAGGGAGCGCGCGCTGGAAACGCCAGTGGAGGCCTCGCCGGGCCCCATGAAATCTGCATGATCCAAGCGCTGAGAAATGCGACGTTTCATCCAAAGATTGAGCAAGCAACGCGTAAGCTAGAACTGGTTTCGAGCCAAAATGGCTCGGGCCAACATGGTTGCGGAGACGGCGCAGACTCGAATGCCAGATCGGAAGCCCACTTGGGAGCGCAATCGCGCCAATGAAGAGCGGCGTCAATCAACGCGTTTCGTCGGAGTGTTTGCGTACGAAGTCCAAATGGAGAGCGACCTCTACATCGATACTTGCGCACTGCTAAGCGCCGCGCTCGTTTTTTCCTCGACCTAGGCCCGCCTGGGACTCCAATGCGAAACGCCTTGATTGTTGTTAAACCAGTGTCGTTTTGATCAATTTTTGTGTTCGTAAACGCATCGGGATGCATCGGGCTCGTGAAAACGTCGCATCGCTGGGGCGGGCCGCTGCGCTCGCCGCGACATCGCACCCAGAGTAGCGCAACACAACGAACCACGCGGCTCAGTCACTCGTCAAGCGAGCGAGCTATGTAAATATTCCCTCGCAAAACAATCCAGCTCAACTCTTGCGCCTGCGCTTGATGGCCTTCCGATGATGTTCGCGACCTCGCTCAGACTGGCAAATTGCTTCTTCATCGCGTCGTGGAGCTTCTCAGCGTGCTCGGCATCTCCAGCTTTGACGATCACCCCCTTGGAGGCGGCGACGAAGTCGTGAAATTTCCCCAGGGCTGGTTGGGGG